AGACAACTGTAAAACACATAAGGAAAGCGGAAATCTCGTAGTCTTCAAAAATGTCTTCGCCCCTCCCCAACAAGCTCTTTGAAGGAAGTTATTATTGCTGAAAGCTCAAAAACTCGCATGTGCTGCTCAAAAACCTATGGGAAAAAATGTTCGAACGTGTGATTTTCTCGAAAAATGAACTTTGAAAAACGGTTTGGTGCTTGTTAGAAAGAGCAAATCCTGTACTTTCACCCCAAAAAAGTGCATCACAGAAATGAAAATGAAGTGAGTTATGGTCGCTGAAAGCCCAAAAACTCGCTTTTGCACGAAAAATGTTCGAACGGGACAATTTTTTGAAAAAGGGGACAATCACTAAACTTTTTATACTGTTTTGTAGAGGAAGTTTCTGAAACTTTTTACAGATTTCCAAAATGTCGCATACGAAAGATATTTATGGGCCTTCAAAGTTGAAGGTGCGCCTTCTTAGAATTTTGGGTTTTCCACTTCTAACAGAAGTACTTTCCGGAGAGTTAGGCAATCCTTGTAGTTTTCTGAAAGCGCACCTCAGGCACAGTCAAAATCTACCTCAACAAGTCAAAAAAGTACGTCCCAAGAAAGTTATTCCCCTCTAAAATTTTTTCTTCGCCGCGTCCCGTTCTTCCAGCGCCCGGGTGATACCTGCCGCGCTCCAAGGCCGACGCGACGACGCGCAGACGCTTTCTGGCGCAACGGATTCATGTCTAGCACGTGTCGCGGATGCGACGGTTGCCCGTGGGCGCACCGTGCGCCCCGGCCCATTCGTGCTCGGATGCCAATGCGCAATGCGCCGCGCAATGCGCCCATTGCGCCATTGGCTCCGCCCCCTACGGTCAGTGCCAGCGGGCAGTCGTCGTGTGTGCCTTACGGCGAGCGGTGACCTGCCTTGCCTCGGACGTCTCCCTATGTCTACCTAGCTGTCAGGTGAGTGTATTGAATGGCGTTGAGCCACCTAGCAGTTGAGGTGCTAATGTTGAAGTGTCTAATACGTGTCCCAGTGCTGGCATCCAGGGGTTGGTCGGTGTTCACCGGGCAACGCGAGGAGGCCCCGGAAGGCGAGGAGGGATGTCCCCTCCGAGCTGGAAGGTTGCGGAGCGCCACCCGTTAACTGGTCGTGGTCCCTCCCCTGCTCCCCGTCTGCAGCAGCCTGGTATCGCGCCCCGTTTCGGACCCGCTGACCGTGCGGGCCCCCTAGAAGTGTAACATCCGAGCGGGATGGGGGTCTACTACGTATAGTCAGCTGGCCTGGTCTGCCCTTGAGCGAGGTGGCCGAGGGAGATCAGAGGCGATGGTGAGTTACTACGTATAATAAATATGTATCGTTCATATGTTGTATTTATGCCCATGTGGGTTTTGCCCTAATTCCATGTGTTCATTGCATATGTTGTTCGCGCCATGGTTGTTAAAGGTTTGGCGCGCTTGGTTCTGTCCCGGGAGCTGCGGAAGGCAGTAGGGACCCGTTAGGAACCCCATGGTCCCCGAGGGGTTGGTCCGCTTCTCCTGCAAGGTGCGCAGGAGAGGTGTTGTGGACCCGATGGAAAGTCCTTGGACCGAAAGGTGCCAGGCGTCAGGAGTTGATAGGCAGAGCCCACCGATGCGGATCGCAGTTCGCGACAAGCACTAATCCTTCTATTTTATAAAGCGCTAACTTTGTGTGTCGGTTTGTATGTCTGTATGTGTGTATGTATGTATGTATGTATGTATGTATGTATGTATGTATGTATGTATGTATGTATGTATGTATGTATGTGTGTCCGTCCGCAAAATGAAGTGAGTGAGTGAAAGGAGCTCATGGAATAAACAAACCGCTAACAAATCGGGTAGCTCGCAGGATTTGAGCTATCAATGTTTTGCAATAGGATAATTGTGATAACACTCCTCGGGCTACATAAACACCTAATGAACACTTCCGGTCATTCCGCATGGTGTGGCAGGTGGAGGGCAGTGGAGAGAGGGGAGGAAGGGAGGATAGGGATGGGAGGCGAAAAATCTACCGTCACTTATGATTATAAACTTGCGATAAACTCCACTATACGAAACTTCTTTTCTGTAGCATTAGCGTCACCTACGCGAGGTGTTGATGGAAGCGGCCACAGCGAAAGACGTAAAGTTTAAGCAGTGAAGGAAGGTCCCGGCAGTTGACGGGGGACTAGTCTGGTTAACAAAAACAGGGGGTGGCAACTGGACCTCCTCGAGAGCTAGGGGTCGCAGAAATTCCAAAAATGTTCGAACTTGACAGTTGACCCTCGTCGCGGCGCCGAAGTTGTTTATTGGGACACCACTGAACCAGCAGGAGACAGTGCTAGTCAATCAGTCAAACAAACAAACAAACCTTACTAGAAGGCGCCGGCGCTCCTTCCAACCTAGTGATCGCGCTGTTTGCGTTGCGGCGCGAGCAATACTGTGATTTGCGAGAATGGTTCCATGTTTGCAAAGTATCACACCTGTCCAACAAGGCTGTGCCGGAAGGAGGGCACTTCTCGAGCAGTCTTGTTATACGGCGAAAAAACAATCGAAGTTCTCTATCAGAGTCAACCCTGCGTTGCGCAGTTCTCAACGGCCACGTTGCGCAGTTTCGCCCGATTAGACACGTTCTCTCGCGCGAACATTCACACTCGCATGCTCGAGCCGTCTGTGTCTCCGCCCATACAGCGTGCGTTGAGGATCTCTCAACGTGCCGTTGCGAACTGCGCAACGCAGGGTTGACTCTGTTCTCTACTGAACTGATGACCTATACTTGCCCACGGAATTTTTGAGAAATGTTAGATATCGGTCTGCATAGGATGAATCAGGACCCTGAAGAGGGGTGAGTTTTGGAAGAATCTGTTCTGTGAGGTTGTCCAACCTCTCCTCTTCAGCCCACTATCAGCCTAAGTCGCCATGTAATGATCCCACAGTGAGCGTTGACGACTATCAACGAAGCCAGCTGGTAATCAGATCCCTAAAATCCCAGCCGTCCTGCTATTGACTCCTGGTCAGCCTAGAGCGTTCCCTAAACGGAAGTATCGAGGGGTTAGGTCAGGGGGGACCTCTGCCTGAGAGTTGTCGGTTGTGGGGAACTCCTCGTTCAGAAGCCCCCTGAAGTACTCTTCCCACCTCCTCTTGACTTCGGCTGGCTTCCTTAGGATGACACCATCGCTGCCTTTTACACTCTTCACCACCCTGATGTCTTGAGTGCCGGGCTTAGCCAGCCTGAAGACGAACTTCTCTGCGTTTCTGCTTTCCAACTTCTCGTACAAGGCGTCCATCTTCCGTGTTCTTCGCCTTGGCGACAGCAGCCTTAGCGAGCCTCTTGCAACTCTTGTAGGTAGCGAGGTCTTCGGGGCTCCGGGTCTTCTGCCAGCGCTTGTATGCTTCCTTCTTCTGCTTCACTCGCTGGACCTCCTCGTTCCAGAACCACGCTGCCTTGTCTCCTCTGAATCCACCTCGCGTCTCGCCCAGTACCTCCTTGGCACATCGCAGGATGGTCTCAGCCGCGTTGCCCCAAGTCCGCTGTACTGGCCCGTTAGGATCTGGGAGACCAACTTCCATTATCCTTCGCTTGAGGTCATCCTTCTCCGCTTGGTGCAACTTCCACCACCGGATTCTCCTCTCGGTTCTTACCCTTGTCTTCTTGGGGAGGTCTATGGCAATGTCTGCCAGGAGGGGCCTGTGCTGGGGAGCCAGATCTTCGCCGGGTAGAACCTTGATATCCTTCACAGTTTTGAGGGATGATCTTCTTACCAGCACATGGTCGATTTCCGTCTGTCTCCCTCCACTGCTGTAGGTTACCTTCTGAGTCTCCCTTTTCGCGAAGAACGTGCTGCAGACTGGGCTGTAGCCAGGTCCAGAACCCTCTCTCCCTCAGCGTTCCTCGTTCCTATCCCTCTACCTCCGTGCACCCTTTCCAGGCCTCTTCTGTCACTGCCGACGTGACCATTCAGATCACCTGCTATGGTCAGGTAATCGCCTTCCGGAATCGATCTGATGGCATCGTCAAGGCTCAGATAGAACTCGTCCTTCTCACTTTCGGGGCATCCGGCTTGCGGTGCGTACACGGAGAGTATGGTCCAGTACCCCTCCTTCGTGTCTATCCTCACAGCCATGATCCGATCGCTGATCCTGTTCACAGCGGAGACATAGTCCTTGAGCGACTCCGCTACCGCTATGGCCACACCGTTCCGCTTGGTGTCTTCTCCATTGTAGTAGAGTTTGACACCTTCCCCGATTTCCCTGGCCTTAGCACCTTTCCATCGCGTCTCCTGAAGGCATAGGACTTGGATATTCCTGCGCGTCATCAGATCAGCAACCTCTCGGGACTTCCCAGTTAGCGATCCTACGTTCAGAGTCCCAATTCGAACTAGCTTCTTTGGCCGAGGCCGTTCACTCCTCGGTAGCCCTCGCATACTGACCACAGAACTCGGGCGGGGGTTCTGCGCGCCACTTCCGGGTGACGTCCTAGCTTTATCACTGATTCCTTTTTCGACTTTAGACATGTTTTGTTGTGACTGGGGTCTTCATCAGCCGGCCTGTCAACCTGGGCCTGACGCTGGTACTAGAACCATTTTTGCAATTTTTGCAAGGCATGGTTAACCTCGGCAGGGATCGAACTCGCGGTTTTCAGAGGTGCAGACATGAGTCTAACCTCTTAACCACTCGGCTATCCCTGCTTCTGACAAGATCAGTTACGTAGTTGACTGGAATCGGTGGAGGGTAGTAGATTGGCGACTTCAAGCGAATAGATCAATACATATCTAATCTTGTCAGCGCACTATCCTAATCTACTACTATCCTAATCTCCTACTCTACTACCGTATATCGTAATCTACTCCACTTTCAATCGATAGGTATGCAATCTTGACAGCGCCCTACCCTACTCTCCTACTATCCTGATCTTCTACTATCCTATTTTTTATTGCCGCGTACTAATAAATCCTAATCTCCGGAGTCGCGAACTATGAATGCAGCCTTAGTATTTTGGCTACACATTTCAGTGTCTTCTAGATGTGAAGAAACTGTTTACAGCGAACGGTGCTGCTATACGGCTAGTGAAAAGCACGAAAAATGACGGTACCGATAAGCTGGCTACAAGACCCACTCAGATCGGATTCGACTTCGATGGGGAAAGGGTGCGCCGATCGATAATTCAATTGTCGCCATTAGCATTTGAAAAGAAGAAACCATTGTAGCTATCTATTTGGTCAGTGGCCCGTGAACGGGTTGCTTCCTCAACAAAACTCAATCACGATGGACACATGATCCTCTATTTTTCTGCCCACGATTGCCTCATTAGGAAGATGGGAATCATGCATTTTGTGAGCAAATAACACTACGTATGCTCTATTTCAGAAGGCGAGAAGAAAATCGAGTGCAGACCACACATCATAAGATACGAGACTTAAGCCGTTTGGACACGATGACCCTCGAACTGAGCGTGCATTATGATGTTCCTGCTGTAGTCACGTACAATGCGCGACGCATTGACGCGCTGAAGCGTGTGCTCGCCTCCCACTTTCGTTTTCTCTGCGCTCTCTCAACGGAGAGAGAATGCGTCG